ACACACACACACACACACACACACACACACACACACACACACACACAAACACACCAACGGAGAGCCCTGTGCCCCTACTGGCCCTTCAGAGATGGCCCTCACCTTGCTGCAGGACTTTCAGACAGCCCAGCTGGCCATAGTAGGCAGCCTCGTGTAGCGGCAGCCAGCCCTCCTTGTTGGGCTCTGCAAGATTCTTCCCATCCTGGATCATGACCTTCAAGGCTTCCTCATCCCCTTCCTTGATGGCCTTCAGCACAGGGTCCATAGCCCTGTGAGAGCAAGTGGCAGCAGGCCCTTAGTTGTAGGCAGAGGCAGGGCCAGATGGCCTGAGGGCAGGCAGGACCTGCTGGAGGGCAGGAGCCAGTGCCTGCTCTGGGGTCTCTCCTTCTTGGGTATTCAGCTTGTTCTGGGACCAAAATTTGTGCCCTCTGGCTCAGTGGATTCAAGAGAATTGGGGCGGGAACTCTGCTGTCCTGTGGCTTTCTGTGGCTGAAGCTAATGTCACACCCAAACTGTTTCTAGCAAGGGGACTCAGGCATTAACAATGGCTGACAACTGCAGAGGCATCTGCAGTGGCTAGGGGCCTTCCCCAAAGATGGCCCTCCGCTTTGTAGTGAGCACAGCTACCTACGGGACCGGATGATTGCAAGAGCTCCCAGGCATGGACCTGCCAAAAGCCCTCCCTTGACTGTCACCCCAGCCTTTCTATCTCCCCATCTGCCCATCAAATCCATTATCTTCACTCCCAGCTGTTGCAAAATGACAATACTTGAAGGATTAATAAATTAGAAGCCTTCACAGTTTAAAACTCCTAAATGCTGAAATGTTTCAGGGCTACCATGAGGGGCATTTTTGTTTGACTCACTGAAAGCAATTTGTTCATTTATCCATTCACTTACTCATCTGTCTGTTCACTATATCTTCTTTCCCTATCTATGTCCCTCTCTACCGAGTCAGTATGGACCATGACTGTCTAGGATCCTGAATTTAGGAGCTGGGGTGGATTGAGGAGGGTCTCTAGGACCTGCCCCCAAACCCTCCCAGCTGCTTCCTCCAGCATGTGACACTTCCTCCTGCCTCTCAGCCTCTGGGTTATTAATAGCAGATACAGGCGAAGCCAGAGACCCATCAAGACAAGGGACTGACCAGATAGATCCTGAATGTCCATCAACACCATCACAGCCACCTGCTTAAGTTCCACTCAGGAGCAACAGGACCATCCCTCATCAGTCTCAGAAAGGGCCCCATGGGGTATGTGGCCACTGCTGAAAGTGGAGGGGGCATGGGTTGGCTGGTCCTGTGGTCCTGGTGAGGGGAGGTCTCCACTATGTAATACTTGCTGTTGGGACCCACCAGCCGGTGTAAGTCTCTCTGGCTGGGGGTCCACAGATCTTGGGACCCTCTGTGTCACCCACTGACAGCTTCCCCAGAAGCTCAAACAAAGTCCCCACCCCAGAGAGGAAGAGGCTGCCAGGAGGGTTAAACCACCAAGGACTAGCAGCAAGCTGGTCCTGGCCCTGGAAGGAGATTTTGTCCTTCCCAACCCTGCCTTGCAGAGAAGGAAGGTTGGGGTGGGGGGGCGGGGGAGGACAGGCTCTCTCATGGTGGACATTCAGGGGTGAGTGGCTGTACTGGAATTAGAACTGGGGTTTCATTTTTTGTCAGCCCCAAAGCCCCAAGAATAATGAGGTGTCTGCCAGGCTTGGAGAGGCTGGGAATGAGAACTGTCCAGCTGCTTGCTCCTCTCTGCCACACAGAAAGGGGTACCAATGAAGGGTCCCTTTTTTTTTTGCTTTTAACTGTTTCTAGGGCCACTTTGGAGCACAGAGGAAGGAGAGAGGTACAGCTCCCAAATACCCCATTAGCTCCGTGCCCAGGCAGAACCCTCTCATTTGGCTCTGATTAGCTCTGAGGTTTGGCACCTGACACTTAAATGAAGCATTGTGGGTGGGGATTTAGACATGCACAAATGAACCCGGGAGGTGGCATGCGTGGGGCGACACAAGACAGGGATAAATAGAAGTGAAAGCCAACACCTCAGCTCCCTCCCCTAGTCTGCTGAGCCTCTGCCTCTTGCTGGGGCCCCAGATTCAGAGTCCCATGGAGCTCCTTCAGCAGGAGCAAGTCACAATCTCTGGGGATAGCTGAGGGGTCAGTCCCAAGCTTAGCTTGAATGCCACTCCTAGCGGGCATTAATCGGTAGGAGCACTGGAATCTAGGGGACACGGCTACAAACCTGCCCCTCTCCCTGCTGCCCCAGCTGGAGGTGTGTACTCAATGGTCTTGGACCAGATTGGGGGGAGGAGGTCACTTACGCTGTCTGGGAGGTCTTGAACAGGTTGCTGCTGTACTTCTGCATGACCCCTTGGAACAGGCCCAGGGGTGCACGGGTCGGTGGGCTCTCAGGAGAAGAGGAGGACCTGGAGGGTACGGAGCCAGAGTGAAAGAGAGAAAAGTACTCTGAATAGGAGAAGCGGGTCATGCTGGAGGCAGGAAGGAGGATGGAGGGTGAGCCGGGAGAGAGTTTAAGTGACAGACAGACACAGGGCTCTGAACCAAAGCAGATGGCCAGGTCCTCTCTGTGTGCTGGACACAGCTGCTGTGTCTCTGGATTATTTTTGGCCCTTGGAGGAAGCCCTTGGAGATTTAAATGACCATATAAGACAACAATGAGGTTAACCTCACCCCCGCCCCCACCGCCCCCCTGCCCAGCCAACCACAAGGGCGCAGATATGAAGCAAGGTGACATTCTTCACCGGGGAGGATGTGAGATGCAGGCGTCAGGATGAAAGGATATGGGGGTCTCACTGGGGCTGGACAAGAGATTCTTGGAGAGGCAAGGGAATGGGAAGGCCAGTCGAGAAGCTAATCCATGTGAGCCGTCTACCTCACCTTGCTGGCTTCTCATGAGAGGACTGTGGACCCCATGGTCCTCTTGGGACCCAGCAGTCTAGAAGGTACAGCAAAAGGATTTGGACAGAAGGTTGGACAGGGTTTCAAACTCAGATGCTTCTTGTGTAACCTGCAGACAAGCTCATATTCAGTCTTACTTTTCCTACCTGTATAGCGGGAAGAGGGCAGCCCCTGTCTCCAACGCCAGTATGAAATGCTTAGCTCTTCTAGAGAATAGTGTCCCTCAGAAGCTCATGTGTTGAAGGCTTGTTGATCACAGTAGTGATCAATGGTGTGGCTTGGGGAAGTGACTGGATCAAGAGGACTCTGTTCTCATCCTTGGATTTTGATCTGTTGACTGGTTCAAAAATGTGTGGTGTGACAGGTAGCTTTAATTGTCAACTTGGCACAGCCTGGGATCAGCTGGGGACAGAACCTCAATGAGTCTGTCTAAATTGGGTTGACCGCTGGGCGTGTCTGTGGGAGCTGTCTTAATTAAGTGAAGACCAAGCCCGCTGTGGGTGGCACCATTTTCTAGGCAAGAGGTCCTGAGCTGTGTAAGAGCAGGGAATTCAAGGTGGGCGCAAGCACGAATGCACACTCTCTGCTCTCAACTGCCGCTATGATGTGACGAGATGTTTCAGGCTCCTGCCGCTGCGATTTTCCCCACAGAGGCGGGTTAGAACCTGGGATTGTAAGCTTTTTCTCCTCAGTTGCTCTTGAGAGAATATTTTTTATCATAGCAACAGAAATGAAATAAGGACCGATGGCATTGTAAGGAGGTGGTGGAAATATAGGACCTGGGACCCAGTCAAAAAGAATCGGCCCTCGGCCCCTGTCTTCCTTTTTCATTGTTTCCTAGCTACTATGAAACAAGCAGCCTCCTAAGCCACGTGCTTCCACCGCCATGATATTCTGCTGCACCTTGGGCCTATGACAATGACCGTGGACTGGAACCTCTGAAACAGTGGACCCCGAATAAATCCTTTCTCCTTTAAGCCACGTCTCTTGAGCTTTAGTGCCTGAGGTGAAAGGAAGACAGCTCACACAGACACAGATGGAACTTGACTCAGGTCCGTGCTTCATTTCGTTTTCACTATACTGAGCCTCAGCCCTCATCTACCAGAAGGGCTGATGAAGATGTAACAACCATTCTACTCTGTTCGTGGCTGGGGCTGCAGGGGTAGCAGAATTAGCCCCTTTTCTTCTCCTAGCAGATCAGCCTTGATACCAAGCACTCCTGGGGTGGGGGACTGTGTTTGGGATTTGGAATATCCCCGTGGGGTACGGGTGCTGTACTGAGCACCTTGGGAAGGATCCTGACCTTGTAGGACAGGGCAGGGCCTCAGCAAAGCCAGGCTGTGGTGCAGAGGAGAGGGCCAGGAGTGAGAAGTAAAGAGGAAGCTTGCTTCAAAGCAGGCCTGGCCACCTTTGTGTTTCTTGCCTCCATACCCCTTCTCCACCCCCAACTCATTATATCCTTCCACACACATCTCCAAGCTATGTCCTACACCTGATGCACTCACTCATTTAGCAATTTTCTCTTCTTATTAATGTGGGCATTAAATATTGTCTCCTTTTACAGATGAGCGAGCTGAGAGTGGGGTATGCCCAGGATCCCACACAGCAGGTGAATAGAGCTGAGGACCAGACAGCTAAGACTTCTCCATTCTCCGGGACCTGGCTTCTTCTTGCCTTCTAACCCTCCCTTCTGCTCCATGACCTCCACACTGTCTCTGTGCCTTTGAATGTATAAGGCTCTTCCTTATATTCAACTTTGTGCCTCGGTTTCTTTACTTGCAAAGTGAGGTCAGGACCAGACTGGGAGTACATCACTGCCAATGTGGCTGAAGACGCTCAGTGTGACACAGATCCAAGAGCTATCAGCCTGAATAAGAATGTGCACAGCTTGTCTCACCTGGCCTGTTTGCAAAGGCCCCATGTTTCCCTCTTTCCTCTTGGCCCTAGGGAAGCAGCTTCAGCCAGGCTATCTCTGTAGTCAGCAGGTTTGGGCTCTCCATGCAGCCCTGGGATTTCTGGTCCATGTAGCCTCTAGACTCTAGCTACTGTTCAAATTTTAGCAAGATAATACACATCAATAAAATATTAGCAAGATGACACACACTAGTAAAAGCTGCCACATCCACCTAAAAGAGGGACCAGTCCCTGTGACGTGATAACAGCAATGAGGGTAGCTGAGGTGACGAGCTGAGGCTGACATGGTGCAATGATGTGGTCAGGGTCACAGGTCACCGCTGTGCAAGACAAATTTCTCAGAGCCCTTCCAAGCACCCTCCTGCCACCTTCTGAGGCAGAGGGGTGTGCCGTTGCCGATTCGTCAGATGAAGAGGCAGCCATGATGGGTTCCTCCATGTGCCTGCCTGGCTCTGCCCCAAGCCTGCTGTCAAGGAGTGGGATTGCGGATTGCTAAATCACATATTTTTCTGGATCCTGAAGTGCTCAGAGGCCACAGGTGCGTGACAAGGTCACACGCCCACAGAGCTGCAGGGAGGGGTTGAGATCAAGGCAGGAGGACTTGTTCTAGGAGCACCGAAATTGGGGTGCATGACTTTGGTCCTGGGGTCAGCTGGATGGCTGCTCACAGTGCCCAAGCTCTGAGTCTCAGGCTGGACTAGAAACCAAGGGACTTTTGTGCTTTCAAAGCAAAGTAGAAGGCCCCACTTCCCCTCTGCTGTCTGCGGCAGGGGAATTCCCAGCAGAGCCAACCACTGGGCTGAGTCATCTGGGTTGAGAGGAACATGCTTCCGTGGGATGTGGCTACGGGTTGTGACCTGAAAGAGGTCCAGGTAGGGCTTTTCTGCACCTCCCCCAATGCCCTGAGACACACCACTACTGAGCCTGTCCTGCTGGGTTTGCATGCACCTCAGCCTTTGCATTCTTCAGGTTGCAAGCACAGGGAGGGCATGACCTGGTGCCAGGATGGACCCAGCACAGGCTGAGGCTTGACTGGAATCATCGACAGCCATGCTTGCTATCCCAAGCAAGTCTGGGATATGTTTTTCTCCTTGGTCTTCTGGGAAGAGCAATCTTCAGTAAAATGCAGGCATTTGAAGGCTTTAAAAAACAGCTCTAGTTGCTCTCTGCTGGTCTCCCCACAGTAACCTCAGGCTCTCTGCTTCAGGGGTGTATGGACCCCATTTCCTGATTGGATAGCAAGCAGGGTATGCCTTTTGGGGGCTCTCAGGGTCCAGGCTTGGCATGACTGTTTAATTTTGTCCTTTCATCTGGTTGTGGGGAGATGGCCCTAAAAAAAGACCTTATGTTTTGTTTGGGGGATCCTCCTATGTTTTTATTCCTAGGACCCCCACACTTCCTTTTAAGGACAATGACAAATTACATCGCCAAAGTATGTTCTCAGTTTTGAAGTGTTTATTTTCCTAAAAATATTCACCAGGCAGCTACAGTAACAAAGGCACAGAGACACAGTGAACAATGTCTCTCAGGAGATTCTCCCTGACACAGAGGCTGGCCTGTGAAGCTGAGGCAGTTATGAAGTTGGGGCCCCAGGGACTCCTCATGTAGGGAACAGAGGGAAGTGAATGCAAGCTACAGGGTATGAGGAAGGCTCTAACCTGCCTCATTACACTTGTCTTTTGCAAGAGGACTACATGGGCGGTGGGAAGCTGGGGTGTGAAGAGCTTGCCTAGCAAGGGCCTGGGTTCCATGCCCTGCACCAAAAGAAAAAGAGAAGACAAAAAGTATACTGCAAGATGAGCGAGCTTCATTTTGGGAAGGGACGGTAAGGAGTGGTTGGGGCAGGACTCACTGAGAAAGGGATAGCTAATCTGAGACCCAGTGGTTGAAAAGGAGGCCCCTGGAGCCTGTGGGATGTCCTGGGTCTATTTGATAGATATTGTAATATCCAAAGATAGAGATGAGTGGGGCTTTTAGGTCCTGTACTCCCTCTAACTTCCGGTTCTGGTCATGGGTCTGTGGGGACCCAAGACCTCTGTGGGTGGGAAGGTGATGTAAAATCCAGATGAAGGCTGCCTGACCTTGGACAAGCAGTTTCATTTCAAATGGGACCCACAAGTCTGGACAGATGTAAGTGTCCCAGTGTGTTTCTATCTCCTTATCTCACAGAAGGCAGCAACTCAAAATTCTCAGTTCTGAGGACCCCCCAGGAGGGGTCCTGAGATGCAGAGGAGGCTTCAGGCACTCAGCAATGTGTGGCTCCTGTAGCTGTCCCCTCTCTGTCTCTGTCTAACTGGTCCTCTCTTGAGAAAGAGGAACCTGTGTTTGACTTCAGAGGAACCAGTCAAAACAGGAACCGAATGAGCCAAGTCCCTGCACAGGGTTTCTGAGGCCCCACTGGGATGTGGTCAGGGTCTGAAGGCCTTGTTCTCCTCCTCACTGCCTAAGGAGCCTGCCTGATATCACTGTGGAAGGGCTTCTCAGAACAGGGATCTCTGGCTTTGGCCCAGCCTGTTGGATGCAGATGAATTAACATCAGCAAAGAACAACGTGACATGGTATAAAGGCTGATGGTTGTTAACCCAGTAAAGGTACAGGGCTGAGATGGCTCATCTTTCACTTAGGAGTCATGGCTGCTCTGGCTCACATTAGCAAAATCTGTACCTTAAAGTTGTTAGACAAGGAAGCAGAACTTCTGAGGGAGCAAGGGACTTTCCCAAGGCCAAGGTCACATAGGGGTCATTGGATGCTGGGATCACTGAGATTTGAGGCCCATGGCCCACAGTCACATAGATACCACTCGTCATAGCAACTACTGTTCCCTCTCTACCCCACCTCGAACACACACAATGTTGGCTGGGGTTGAGTAGGGCAGCAAAAGCATCTTCACAGTTTATATATGTCTTTCCTAAAAGCATTTGAAGAACAAATGCCAACTACCTTTCTGGCTGTCCCTGCAAAAAAGATGTCCCCTAGATCAGTACTGTCCAATCTGGCAGCCACTGGCCACATGTAGCTAAAGAGCAGTTGGAACGTGGCTGCTGTGGGCGTGAAATACACATGAATTTAAATGCTTGGCAAGAGCTAATTAAACATTTATTTTATGTGTGTGTGTGTGGCACATACGTGCTGCAGTACCCATGTGGAGGTCAGAGGACAACCTGTTGTTTCTTTCCTTTTGCTTGGTAGGTACCAGGGATGGACTCACGTCATCAGGCTTGGAAGCAAGCTCCCTTACCCACTGAGCCATCTCACTGGCTCTTCGTGTATAATTTCTATATTGGCAATGGGCAGAAATGATGACATTTAGAAATAAAATACACACAAAATGTGAGCCGTGGTGGCTCATGCCTGGTTTCTCAGCCACGGGGAGGCCAAGGCATTGAACCTTTGAGGCTAGCATGGGCTGCACAAGTGAGTTCCAGATCAGCTTGAGCTATGTACTTTGACCTTGTCACACACACACAAAAAAAATAATTGTTATAAAATGTCGTAAAATTTCACTTGTTTCTCTTACTATTTAGGCGGCCCCGTGGACCGTGTCTGTGGCTTTTCATGTGGCCTCAGGTTGTAATGTTAGAAAGCCCAGCAGCTGGGAAGGGGAGGTACTTAGAGAGAAGAGAGGCTGGGAGATGGAGCAGGATGAAGATGCAAGGCAGATGCCTTTTGCCTTGCAGGTGTGGTTCCTGTAGACGCTGCCCAGGCAGAGCTAGAAGCACTAGCCCACCGGACAGCAGTCCCCTGCATTCAAGTGTAAGTCAGTCAGGCATGGCCAGGCCTGGGCTTCGGAGCTAGTCAATTCCAAGTCCCTATCCTGGTGACCCAGGGACCAGTTAGTCAGCCTTAGGCTTCGGTTTCCTCTACATAGAGACCACTTAGGGGGTTCCTAAGAGAATTTAAAAAAATGGAAACAAATGTGATCAGCCCAAGAAAGCATCCATTCCAAGCTCATGGAGTCCACAAACTTCAGGTCAGAAGTATTTGAGACACCTGTCCCTTCCTTAGCCTCGCCTTGCTTACCTGGCCCATGTGGGGAAATGGCCTGGCTGGTGGTTGGTCTGAGAGGACGCAGTGGTCTCAGCAGGGGTTGGGCCCCGAGTCTTATCTGCCAGGCTCTGCTCAATGGCCATCTGGACCAGCTCCTCCTCACTCAAGCTGCTGTACAGGCTGAGTTCCTCATGCCCAATGGCGCGCTGTGTGCCCCTGGTGGTGATCTCGGTTGCCATCCTGGCCGCCTCTCCTCCAGTCTCCAGAAGAGAGACCCAGCAGTAACAAGTGCACAGAACGTGACAAATCCCTGCGGGGAAGCCAAAACCCTCCAGTCACTGAGTGGTCCACAGGGCAACCATGTTCACCCACAGGGAGGGCTGTGCAACTGCGCATTTTAAACATGTACTTGTGCACCTGCATGTTAGCATGTACACCTGAGTGAGGGGGCACTCAGGGGCCGGAAGAAGCCATCAGATCTTCCGCAGGTAGAGCTGCAGGTGCTTGCACGCCACTTGATAGGTGTGCTAGGAGCCAAACTGGGTACTCTGCATGAGTATCAAGAGCTCTTAACCACAGGACCATCTCTCCACCTCACTCTTTATCTTTTTTTTGAAATGCATTCATTTGGCCAGGGGATTCGTCTAAACATCCATCCATCTACACAGCCTCCCACTCACACATCTGTTCACCCATCCACCTATCCTTCAAGCCATCAGCCTCTCGTGCCTCTGTCCACCCTCCCACAGCTACGGTCACCCGCCCTCCTTCCATTCTCCCACTCGTCCTATCGACCCAGATGCCCAAACATCCAGCAATCACACCCATCCCCCAATCTTCCTACCCATTGGACAGTCCATGCACTCGACCACTCAAGCCTTTCATCTACCGTCATTCACCTTCCAGACATCCATCCAACCATCTTCTCTCTGTCCATCACCCACCCCTCTATCTATTCACTCCCTCAGCCGCCCACCCACTCCCTTTTAAAGCTATCTATGCAGATAACTACCCACTCACCATTTCCATTCCAGGAAGTCTATCTACCTATTCACATATGCCTGCATACATCAACTGAGAGATTATTTCTTGTGCAGCTACTCTGGGTCAGGCGCTCTTCTGGGGACACCAAGATCTCGACATCTGGAATCCTGCCTCATGAGCCCACACTGTGTCGAGCACATTCCTCCCATCCAGTTGCAGCTGTGTTCCACACTGGCACATCAAGACTGCTCTTCACAGTGGGAGGGCTGAGAATCTGCATGGTCTAGTGAAAGCCAGCCGTTACACCAGTTTCATTACCGGGGCTCTCTTCTAAAAAAAAAAAAAATACAAATGCCCCAGAGAGAAAGGGGCAGGCTGCGTGACACTCTTTCAGCAAATGGGATCCAATCAGGCCAACCTGTGATGTTTCCTGGCTTGCAGCAGCGTGACTGCAGGTCAGTGGTTCTCAGCCTGAGCATTCAAGTCACATGAGGTCTTTAAAAAAAAATGACACACACACCCCCCCAGGACCAAGTGCCATTATTCCAGTCTGGCAAATATGTGCCCTTTTCCCCAGAGGCAGACATCCTTCTCCTTCCCCTCGGATGTTGGGCCAAAGCCCTTCGGACCTGCTCTGTCAAGGGGAAGCTGATGGGCACAACACAACAGGCACATGAGAAGTTCCTTCTGTCATGCCCAGGGGAAAGGGGAATTTCCCGTGAGACCTGCTTCCTAGTAGCCTGAGCTCCAGAAAGGATCCATCAGTCTCCTGAGGGTAGGTAAGCTCCCACCCAGCAGTCAGTGAGAGCCCCCTGCCAGGCAGTGAGAGGTCAAGATCCACTCCCACCCCAAGCTATCCTCAATTGAGTAGGACCCTCCATGCTGCAGCCCCCAGCCCCAGCCTGTCGCTAGCTCCTAGAGTCTCCCCTACCTTCAGGTGTGGACGTTGGCTACCGATGCTTAGTCTAAGGGCCGATTTGCGATGTGGCGTTCTTGTGGCTCCAGCTAACTGGTACACAGGAGACCAGCCCAGCACTTCTCAGAGAGGACATACAAATGTCCCACAGCCAAAACACCAAGAGGCATTCACTTTGCTAATGCCGACGGATTCAAATTCAGATCTAAAGTAACACAACTTCTCCTGGCCCCACACGGCTCAAATGAAAAGGGTAGAAACCGTAAGTGCCGGGGAGTGTGTGGGGTCACCGCACACTAGGGGCTCACGTGGGGTCACTAGGGGCTGTGATGAGGGCTAGAAGGAGGAGCCTTCTCTCCCACTACTCCCTGGGCCTCCTGTGTGCAATTGTGTGCTGTTCGAGGGGCCACATCGAGAGAGCACACCCTGGGTGTCCTGTGAAGAATTGTGGCAGAGTGGGCATGGCCGGAAGGCAGCCATCCTCTTGCACCCAGCCCCTCTGGCACCTGGGTCAGGTGTGAGGGGAGATGTGTTGTGTTCACAGTGGAGCTGAAAAGGTCGGTTCGCAGCTGCCCTCTGGAAGGCTTGCCGTCTGGATTGCTTGCAATGGACTTACCAGCCTATAGCATTCATGAAATAGTTTCACATTCCTGTCAAAAGCCCAGGACCTAACCGAAGGTCAGGCACACGAGAAGTATTTAATAAGTGCAGGAGGATAAACAGGAGAATCAGAATAAGGTTTAATTCCCTGGAAGGCCAGCTGGTTTCTGGACTGGGGACCCCCTGCTGCCTGCTCTAGCCTTATGCTACCATCTGCTGGCCATGTCAGGGATTGCAACCTACTCATCCTACAGAGCAGGACTCCTGTCCTGTCTGTAAAGCAGATGCTAACAGCTTGGCCTGTGGCTGTGTATGCAGTATGCATGACACATGATATTATGGCAAATGTGGAGACCTCATCTGACACACAACCAGAGCCTGGAAAAAAATCTGAATATGACTTAAATCTCCCTGGAGGCAGCCTTCACCTGTTCCTGTCCACTCAGGACCTGCCCTGGCTGGCAGTTTTCAGAAAGGCCGTCTGACTGTCTTACCTTCTTCCTGGTTTTCCTCCATTTAAAATGAGGGAGGGCCAAAGTGAAAGGAGCCCCCAAGGCATCCTGCTCTTTCAGTGAAAAGAGAAGCTGTCAGTGCCTAAGCTGGCCCCACGTCTGCTGAGCAGTGTGTCAAGGCAAGATCCGGTCAGAGCTGTGGACTCCATGTCTGCTCTCATCAGGCCTGATGCAAGCCTGGTGGCCATTCTTCCCCCTAGCCCCTCCACCCTCTAGCTGTTTTAGACCTTGGGGGACCACCTGCCTGCCTTCCCTTCTCCTTCCAGTCCCAGTCTCGGTGACCGTGGGGGTCCTGAGGGGTTTCTTGAGTTGCAGGAAGGTGCAGGGCACAGGGCAAGCACTGGGGTCAGGTAGCCACTGGAGCATGAGTGTGGAGGGTGGGCTGCCACACTGCCCGAGAAGGGCCATGGCTCTGGGCCAGGTGTCACCTCAGAGCGGCACTGCCAACCAAAGAGAAGGCTCCCTTGCCACCAGTACATACACACACTCATGTTTGTTGGTGTGTGTGTGTGTGTGTGTGTGTGTGTGTGAGAGAGAGAGAGAGAGAGAGAGAGAGAGAGAGAGAGATGTGTGTATGTGTGTTCACACGTGTGGCTACAGTTGAGGTGAATGTGCATAAGTGTGTGCATGTAGGCCTGAGGGTGACATCGGGGGTCTCGATTTAATTTATTGAAACAGAGCCTCTCGATGCACTCAGGGCTAGCTAGCTTGCCCTAGGGGTCCCTGGCTCTGCCTTCTGTGTGCTGAAATTACTGACAGCCACCGTGCCTGCCTGGTTTTCACATGGGTTCTGGGGATCCCAACTCCAGCTCTCATGGTTGTACACACACAAGCCAAGCACCTTACTTACTGAACTGTTTCCCCAATGCCCCTCCTGCTGCTGTTTAAGGTTTTAGGAGAGACAAGGGTCAAGAATGAAGACTTTGCAGTTTTGAAAGATTGTCTGTAAGTGTACACTGTGTCTGAGTGTATAAAAAATTTATACTTATAACCGTGTTTGTAGTCTGAATCATGTAATATGACCCTTCTTGTAATATATACTTTATTATATACATGCATGTATGTATCTCTGTACAGTCAGCTCTCTGAATCTGTGGGTTCCGCATCTATGCATTCAACCAACTGAAGCTCAAAAATAGAAAAAAAAATGTTCAAGTAATATGTAGACATTATTACTTGAACACGTATAAACATTATTCCTGTCTTTATTCCCTGAACAAAGGAAGGAAGTAACAATTACCTTTGTTGGGGGCTGTGGGTGATCCAGTGATGGTTTCAATGAGTGACAGAAGATGTGTGCAGGTCCCAAGCACCTTGGGCTTTTTCTACCCACAGGTTCCAGGAACCCATCCCAGCAGATGCCTAAGAACAACTATGTAACACTCACACACACGTAGTATCTATTTATTATGAAAGCTTCAGGGTCTCCCAAATGTCCCAAGCCCCTTAACCCCAGGTGATCTTGAAAACAGGCTGCTTGGGCTGAGGAGGAAGCAGGGAGTTGAAGGGTTGCTTCTTGTCCCCTCCTACCACGATATGTTCCATCAGCCATCACAACTCTTCATTCTCCAGCAGTGGCTCATGGGAAACATGGAGGTCTGCTCTCCTTGCCCTGTCCTCATGCTCTAAATTGGAACAATAGCAACCATGCTTGTGTCTATGGACCACCCTGAATTGTGCTCAACCACTGCCCTGGGCAAAATCCTTGACCTCTGCACCTGGGTGAGTTAGTTTCTGCCAACTTGACACAAAGTAAAGACACCTGGGAAGAAGGACTCACAGTTGAGGGAACTGCCTCCATCAGATTGGCCCATGGACATTTAATTGATGAAGGAAGGCATAGCCCGCTGTGGCAGTGCTACCCCTGAGCCGGTGGGTCTTGGCTGTATAAGAAAGTTGAGCAAGCCAGGACAGAGCAAGCCTGTGTTCCTCCATGACTCTTGCTTCAGTTCCTACCTTTGGGTTCCTGCCTTGAGCCCCTGCCCTGGCTTCCCTCGATACTGGACTGAGATGTGGAAGTATAAGCCAAACGAGTGCTCCCTGCCCCCACCCCGCCCCTGATCCCCAGCACAACCCTTGAGTTGCTTTCACTCAGTCTCTATCACAGCAACAGAAAAGCAAACCAGTGCAGTGCCCGGGGGATATTCCCTTCCTACTGTACAGGTGAGGAGGCTGAGGCCCAGAATGTAAGGAGCCAAGAGCATATCTACCTGTTCCCTTTTTCATCAGGCCCCTAGCCCTAAATACTGAGGGGAATGGCAAGGGTTCCTGCAAGTGACTCTTCACCTCGCCCTTCTCATCCATACTGCTGCCCTGGCTAAGGGGAAGCCCAGGTCAAAGCCCCAGGGTGGGTCTTTGACAAGGGTATTAGTTGCATTTCTGTTGCTGTGATGAAACACCATGACCCAAAGCAACTTATGAGAGAAAGTTTGTTTTAGCTTACAGTTCCAGAGGGATAAGGGTCCATCATGGGCGGGAAGCACAGCAGCCTACGGCAGGCATACAAGCACAAAACAGAGAGCAAACTGGAAGTAGGGCTTTGAGCTCTCCAAGCTCACCCCCAGAGAGACATACTTCCTCTTTACAGCTGCGCCTCCCCATAGTCCTGACCCACCCCAAACGGCGCCACCAACCAGGAACCAAGTCTTCAAATTCATAAGCCCATAGGGGGCATTTCTCATCCAAGCCACCATGGCAAGGAACAGGGCCTCCAGTGTCAGGGCCTTTTTAGAGACCTCTGTCCTCCCAGTGTAACAGCTGTTTAATCATCTTCATCAAAGGAGCTGAGATTACTTGCAAGAGATCCTCAAGACCCAGTCTGTTGACTTTACTTCATAGAAGAGGGGGTGACCCTCATCTGAGCTACCGAGTCAACCCCCTTATCCTTCCTCCCATGTGTATACAACTCTGTCCAAGCTGCACAGGAGGTGCTAGAGCAGAGGTTCTCAACCTGTAGGACATGGCCCCTTGGGGTCAAATGACCCTTTCACAGGGATCACCAAAAACCATTGGAAAACGCAGATGTTCGTGCTTGATAACAGTGGCAAAATTACAGTTATGAAGTAGCCATGGAAATAGTTTTACGGTTCCACAACATGAGGAACTACGTTAAAGAGCCATAGCATCAAGGAGGTTGAGACCCACTGTGCTAGAGCGTTTAGACTGCGGAGGGTAACAGCAGGCAGACTCCCTCTACGCAGCAATGGGGGAGTCCCTGCTAGAGTGAGACTTTCTGGTGGTGCGGCTGCTTTGGAATCACCCACATGCCTGTAAGTGACCTGTCCGTCACCCATGCTCTGTAAATGACTCACTGGTTGGCCAAGCTGGACTACTGTGGTCAGAGGCCTATCTGGAGTGAGTTGACATTTGTTGGTGTCTCTCCAGGAAAAGCACATGTAACAGGCCTCGAAGCTTCTCAGCGCAGCGGGCTCAGCCGCTAGTCTCAGAGCCAGGATACTGGTCTCAGCCAAGCTTGTGACTTGGGTCGTCAAGGCTTTGGGGAATCTCAGGCTTGGTCAGTGGTTGTGTGGGGGAGGGGTGATACGATCTGCTCAGGGTTAGAGAGTGCAGTCAATACCACCATACAGGACTCCCTTTGTGGAGAAGAGTCCCTTGAGGCGCAGAGAGGTCCCAAAGGGAGTTGGTCCTATCCAAAGCTAACTCTGCCTTTACCCCACCATCAGACCAGAGGATTATTTACAGAAAGGGGAAACTGAGGCTTCATCTGGAATGAAACACTCTGCCTTATCTTTGCTGGTCCCAATCTGAGTGACTCTCTCATGTCACCTGGAATCCTAAAAAGACATCTTGGTAATTTATTTGGTGGGAGGGACTGTCTGGGGTACATTGAGAAAACCACTTCTTAAAGACAGTAAGGAAGAGGGTGAGGAAGGGATGAGGGGAAAAAAGCAGAAAGAAAAAAAATTTCAGGGTTTGTGGCAAATACTATGCTCTAAGGAACACTCTCTAAAGAATAGTGTGCTCTCAAGAACCCTTACAGAGCTAAAGACCACCTGAGGCGAGGTGTTGCCTGTGAGCAGGAACTAAGAGGACTTCAGGGAGCCTGGTGCCCCACCACCACCACCGCCACCCCTAAGTTGCCTCTCCAGGCCAGGGCTCACCTTTGTCTCAGATGCCAGGGTGGAGGCCCCTCCCCTGGCCTTGTCGGGATTGGCCAGCATCCCAGGTTCTACCCTCCCACTGCATACAGACACATCTGTAGGACTCAGTCCACAGGGCTAGACACAGGATTCCAGGGCCCTGACCCAGTTTCTGCCTAGACTCTAGAAATGCCAAGCTCTGCCATCTGCCAGCAGCCTGAAGTGACGGTGATGGGTGGGTGAGGCTGGCCACTTCCCCCTCTCTAGGCAGCCAGAGATTCTGCAGCTTAGAAGAGGGAGGCGTCTCATAAAAGACCCCGGTGCCCAGATATATTTGGTCCTTGTGGAACTCCTGTCCTCTCCAGGTCGTATTAACTCCCACCCCCCCCTTTTTTTTTTTTTTTGGTTCCCTGCATTCTGCCGGAGGTTTGGTTATGAGTCTTAATATCTGTTTTGATACACTGCTAGATAGCGTCTTTCAGAGGCCCTCTGTGGTAGGCTCCTGTCCTGTTACTTGTTTGTTCCTACTGTTTCTCCAAACAAGGACCATGTATGGATGCAACCTAGAGCCCCTGCTCGGATGTAGCCCTTGGTAGCTCAGTATCCAAGTGGGTACCCTAATAAGGGGAACAGGAACTTTTTCTGTCATGAACTCGATGGTGGGCTCTTTGACACCCCCTCCCCTCCGGGAGAAGCAGCCTTGCTAGGCCACAGAGGAGGACTTTGCAGCCAGTCCTGAAGACACCTGATAAACCAGTATCAGATGGAAGGGGAGGAGGTTCTCCCTTATCAGTGGACTTGGAAAGGGGCAGGGAGGAGATGAGGGTGGGAGGGTGGGATTGGGAGGGAAAGAGGGAGTGGGATACAGCAGGGATACAAAGTTAACAAACTGTAACTAATATTAAAAAAATAAAAATTTAAAAAAAAAGAGGGAGGCGTCTGGACAAGAGGAAGGCATCTGTGTCTCCTGCAGGAGGATTCTTAGATCTAGTCTGTGGGTAACACACGGGGCCTAATAATGCCATGAAGGTACCAGGGAAAGTCTTGCTGGGTTCACAAAGACGCTGGCTGCCCCAGTGCCAGCCCGAGACCTGTGGCTGTGGCTGAGCTCTTGAGGTGCAGCAGCTTAGGTCTACTTCCTAATTTCAGTACCTCACCACAGCCCAGCCTCAGACAAGACCCTTAACCCCTCAGAACCTCAGTCTTCAAATCTTGAAAAAGAGAGTCAGCATTCACCTCACACTCGTGGTGGCCTTGAGGAGGGGTCAGGGGAATAGTTCACCTGTATTAGCTGATGGATGCTGGCTAACATGGACTGAGTCGTTCTTCATTATAAAATCATTCCAGACCCCCATCCAGAGGAGGAAGACGATACTGCCAAATACTTCCTCAAGGCTCCCAACATTGGTGCCCAGTACATACCAGGTGTGGCCATCTTGTGCCAGAAATACGAGATGGCTCCTTCTTCTGGACAAACGTCCGTGTGTTTTGAACAAGAGTGGCCTACCAACCACTGGTGGCTAAGGTCAGGCTGGGGCTGGGACTGCTCTGGCAGCCTGGCTCAGCTCCTGTGAGTTCCCTCAAACCTTGCCTTACGAGAAAGACTCCTTGCAGAAGGGGAGTTTTCCTGCCCCAAGCAGGGCTCTGCTACACCCCTGCTGTCCCTCTGTGTCACCAGCCCACTGGTATCAGTCCATCTCCCTGGCATCGCAAGATGTAGCCTAAGATAAAGACCCACCTGTCTCCCCTCTGCTCATACACTTTTCAGGTATGTTCCATCTCCCCTTGGTCCTGGGTAAGTGCTGGCTCGTCCCCCAGCCTCTAAGAAGACTTCACTTCTCCCTCCCACCCCAGGAGTCTTTCGTTCAGCAGCCTGGTATTTCCCAAGTCTCATCTCCCTTTGTCTCCACCCAAAGACCCTTTGCTCACGATGATGACATTCTGTCTGTCTTTTTAGAGACCTTGCCTTCTTGAATAAGGCATGCGTGCTGTGCATGCATGTATGCATGAGATGTTTTGCATCTCTGCATTTCTCATTCCACACTCTCTTCTAAACCTCCAAAAAGGGCATGCAGGGCCCATGGCACCTGGGTTTCATCAACCCACACAACTGTCCACACCTAGCCCTCTTAGTGCAGCAGACACTGAGTACTCTTGCAAGGAAACATCTACCATTCGCTTGGCCTGAAGGTATTTTTCTAACACAGACATCACTGGAGACCCTATGGATCCGATAATAGCATTGCTGCTCACTCTTTTCACATGTCTGCTTAGAAGCACGCAGCTTAGAGTGACACTCTAAGCCAGAATCCTCCAGAACAATAGCTACTGTGCATGCAGAGTGCCAGCTTCCTGCTGCCGGACCCAAAGTCTCCAGTATGTGCAGAGCTGGAGAGAAGGAGCAGAGTCAGACAGACAGACAGACCAACAGACAGATGAGAGAGAGGCATGGGCACAGTTTGGCTACAGGTCTTGCAAAGTCCTGAAGCTGCAGTCCCAGCCCACCCAACAGTTCTTTTCAAAGTGTCTGTGACCAAGTCGAAAGCATGCATTACCTGAGAGGCTCTGTGGCAGGGGCACAAGTCTGGGCAACAAAGAGATTTTCTTAACTGAACTCAGAACATGCTCCCTGAGTTTGTCTCCTGTGCTGGCCCTGGGCTTCCAGCTGCTGTGCCAGGCAGCTCTGAAGCATTCTCCTTTGAAGCGCGGAGTTTATTTCGGGCCCACCGCATGACCACGGATGTCAAGCCAAACTATAAGATGTTATGACTCTCAGATTTCCCTTCTGAAGATTGCACTGAGGAAGCTGTGATCCTGCCTTCCACTCCTCTGGGGAGGGGGGGGGCACGGGAGACAGGCTCCCGCTTCCGAGAGCATCTCGGGCTTCGGCCCTCACGTGATGTCATCATTTGTGATCCTTGACATGGAGGCCATATATGGGTATGTTGCTAGAACTGCCCAGGCGGGAGCTAGAGAGGAGGGAAATGCAGAAAGACAAGACAGGGAGGGAGCACAAAGAGACACATTATTCGGAAAGAAAATAAAAAGCAAGGGAGAGAGAAGAGCCCAAAAGGGGAGGTGGGAAGAGGAACTGAATGAGGGAGGGGGCAGACAGGGTTCTGCATGAGACCCTCGAGAAAATCAGTGTTGGGCGTGCAGCAGGTGGCCAAGGCTAGCATTTGGAGACACCAGCTGTCCAGAATTAGATGCTCTGAGGTGGAGCCAAGGAGCAAAAGGGCAGGGCACAAACCAAAAGACCAATGAACACACTGCATCAGGCAAGCCTGGACAGAGTCAGCCACAGAAGGGACCTACCACCCCAGGGCTGGGAAAGAGCATCTCCATTTCTGGAATAGATGATCTAAGAGAAGAGTCTGTTCCTTCTTTCCTTTGGATTTTTGGTGTCCTCAGCCATGCACTTAGCAATAGAAGGCAGAAGAAGTGATGTCTGGAGACCTCCAAAGCCAGACAGAGGAACAATTTGTAGTTGCCCTGTTGTGAGAAAGTCCCTGCATACCACAATCAGGGAGGGCCCCAGGTAGAAGAGTCACTGGGGGGAGAGGAAAGTGGTCTGGGAAGATGGTGGCCACAGACAGAGAGTGGAAATCTGTTTTAGAAGTAGTCCCTCCTGCATCCCCCAACAGATGCCCCAAACAACAGGTGCCAGAGATAAATTACTTAAGCTGACTCTTCACACACTTCCGACTCTCCACACACAATTACAGGTGTGTGATTATGGGTACACACCTGTAATCCTGGCACTCAAGCAGAGGCAGGTGGACCTTTATGAGTTCAAGGCTAGCCTGGTCTACATAGCAAGTTACAGGTCTGCCAGAGCTACTGAGTGAGGCCCTACCTAAAAAAAAAAAGAAAAGAAAAGAAAAGAAAAAAATCAACAAAAACCCCAAACCAAACAAAATCATGGGATGGGATGAGGTGGTATCCCAAGAGGTCCCATGTCTCTTAGGGACCTGGGGCTGTTAATATGCAAGACTAACTTCAACTTCAAATATTTACTTGAAAGTTAGCTTCTAGCTTGGAAGGTGTTTTGTCGTTGTTGTTGTTACTGTTTGTTTGCTTGCTTGCTTTAGACAGTTTCATATGTATATACAACGTGCTGGGCCATCTAGATGGCTCAGCAGGTAAAGCTGCTGGCTGCAAAAGCCTGTCTCAAAAAGGCAAACAAAAACCAGGATTCAACTTCCTTCTCTTCCTATTCATGGTAAGATGCCATCCTCAATCGTGTCACGGCTTGTGAGAGACTAGAAGCTCCCTGGTCTTAGGGAGTGTTGCAATCTCTCCAACTGGAAGGGCTCTTGGATTTGTGTCCAGATCCCTTGTTGAGACTCAGAGAGATGCTGTGACTCCTCTGAGCTCACTCAGCAAAGAAGGGTATAAATCCATACTCTGAAGACTGCAGCCCTCAAATTAGATGCCAGTGTCCTACAGTAGAGACACTCCTGTGACATAGTCAGGGACCTGGCCTTTGGATACCTGACTCAGTATAGTATCAAGACAGGGAGCATGGTCCAACAGGAAAAAGTATGCCTCAGCAGGGCCTGACTACTACATCTCTGATCCCCCAAGCCAGGCCTCTGGAGTTAGATTTGTCTACAAGTGTTGATAATGCTTCCGGTCACTTCATACCCTGTGCAGCATTGGGCTTTCCTGTCTCTGAGTGTTTGCCAATTCTGTGGGCATTAATGGTGTTCTGTGGCCACTTTAAACTGCAAGTCCCTGACGACCAATAACACTGAGCATCTGATGGCCTGGGCTTGTGATTTCTGGAGCGCTCCATGGTCCCCAGCATCAAGTTAGATCCAGGAATAGCCCTAGCAACCGTCTTCCAGAGGACACAAAAGGGTAGAATGGGGACAGATGCAAAAGCCACAGGAGAATCCTCCTGTAGATCAGGAGAAAGGAATTTTCCAGAAGCCCCAGGACCCCTGTGGGAATTGTAGGATCTCCCCTGTAGGGAGTGGTGAAGTTTGAAACCCAGTCCCCCCTCCCCACTTTTTTATTTTTTATTTTTTTTTTACTTTTTTTTCTCCTGTTCCAGGAAGGATGGAAAGAGCAAAGGTGCAGGGAAGAACAGCCAGCCAGAGGCCATGAAAACTAGGCTGTGACAGTGACAAGGCTCAGGATGACGTCGGCCCAAGAGTGGAAGATCATATCTATATTAAGCACCCTGTAGCCCAATGTCCTGGCCTGAGCTTTCACTACCTCGAAATTTATTTTGGTTTCATATAACTTAGATGAAGAGAAACAAACAAGAGCCCAAGCCTGGCTCTAGGAGCATTTAGAAGGGAGGTCTGGAAAGAGCAGAGAGAGGAAGGCTCAGTCCTGGAAGGGGGGAGGGGGCATGGTGAAAGGGGTTGAGGAGGGAGCAGTAGGGTCCTTAGAGGTCAAGGTGATCTCCAGGAAGGGAGCTCACTTTCCCCGTTGACAGAGGACCAAAGAACCACTATGGTGTCCCCTCAGCTTCTCAGGGGTCTACTAGAGCAGCCTTGCACAGGCAGGACCACACTAATGCAGGAACTGCCCACTGCATTCCCTGTTTCCAACATGGGCCCTGGAGGCAAATAACCCCAGCCCATTCGTAGCCTGGGGACCTAGCCTCAGTCTTGTCTTCTGAGAGTAAGGATGAGGCGATTTCCTTGTTTGCCTGGGGATTCAGCAGCAGCCCAGAGCTCAAGTTGCCCCCAGTTCTGAGCAGTCAATGGTCTGAGAACATTTTTTTTTCTTCCCACAGCCACCTGCAGAAGAGAAACCATCTCCCACTGCTCAGGGATCAGAGGGCCAAGGCAGTCAGGGAGGCTGGGACTGAGTTATTCCAGGGGCTGCTGGTCCTTTCAGCTGGCCAAGTCACTTGGCCCGCTGTGAGGTTGATCTCATGATGCCTGAGCCACCCTGGGGAGTTCAGGGACAAAATTAAACCCGGTGCGGCCCACAGGCCTGAGTTAGCTGCTGGGAACAGGTTTCCCACAAACATAAATACATTCAGAGCTTACCAGCTGGAGGAAGGGCCCCATGCAAGAGCAGAATATGTAGACCCAGCTCCTTCCCCTGGGACGAGCTAGGCTGTGTGGGACCCTAGCCATCCTGCTGGACACAGCGGCTCCTGCCATTTCTGCTTAACTACATCAGAGCATTCTCTGAGCCTCCTGGATAACGCAGCTGAGAGAGAGCAGCAAGACAGAGATCTAGCCAGCCACCATGGAGCCATGCTTGCAGGGAACCAAGCTCTGGACACGCAGCTGTCACCCATTTGGCACCTCTGTAGGGACAGCTAGCCACAGGGCAGCTGCTGTGGGTTTCAGCTTTCGTCCTCACTATTGCTCCCCAGGGAGCCTGAAGGACCAGAGATGTGGCATCATGGAGTGCCAGACAGACACTTCTATGGAAGGCCCTGGGCTTGCTGGGTTGTGGTCGCTGGGTCATGGTGTGAAGTTGGGCTTGGGACATAGGGAAGGACCAGGGATTTTTGCTGTCCCAATGGTAGGCTGTATCCTTTTGTCTGCACATGGAAAGGCGTATGTAAGATGCTTCCACTTTGGACCCCTTCTGGTGCTATGAGGGAGATGTAGTCATCTTGACGTCACAGGAGGGGAACTCGAGCTTTCCGAGGACCTTCCAGACCCAGCCAGGGCAAGCCCCAGGCATGTTGCCTCCATTCTTCAAGGAACCACACCGTTGTTCAGAGGAAGGGAAACTGTAAAGGCAGAGAATTAGTCAGCTCTGGTGAAAGCCTCGGCTGGAGCCCTCTACAGGGTGCTCCCTAAAACTCTCAGGTAATCCCATTGAGCCTCAGACTCTGAGACCTGAGTGGGGCAAAAGGGCAGGACCCTCACCACACAGCAAGGCCAAGAGAGGTTAGACTTGCGCATCTGCGGTTGCCCACCCTCATGACCCAGAAACATTTACTTTGGGGTGGGGAGAGAGTCCACGTTATGAATGACAGTGGGTCACAGAGCCACAAACGGCCACTTTCAAGTCCAAGCAACCTGAGTGTCAATGTTATTGTGCCTGGTTTCCCAAACAGACCATCAGTCTTGAGGCTACCCCTGGCACAGAATCATTAGCAAAGTGGTGGTTGTTGGTGTCCCTGCGAATCCCAGCTTCTCAGAGCCACAGGCCTGCAGCTATCTGCCAAATACAGCTCTTGCTAGCTATGTAATCTTGAACAAACCATTTGACCTCTCCAAGCCTTGGTTTCCTAATGTACAAGAAAGGGGAAAAATGATTGTAGCCATCCATAGCTTGTGGGAAGATTGCAAGGTTTAAATTTTACATATAAATTATAATGCCCTGAGCATTCTCTATACATAGTCATATATACATATATAGTATATATATATTAAATACACATATGATTTATTATGTTGTATATTGTTATAAATATGTATAATATATGTATGTACATGTTTACCTCTTAGAATAAAGACTTAAAAACATAACAGCCCCAACCAGCTTAAGTTTGACAGAAGGCATGGCCAGTGGTGGAGACTGAGAACACTTTTCCCAGAGAGGACATTGCACATTCCTGAAGCCATCTTGGTTGTCACAAGGCGGGTGGGGCAGGTGTGCCTTCAGTGAGCAGAGGCAGGGATGCTGCCAAAGCATTGCATGGCACCTCCTGCACAGCGCCCTTAATGTGCCCTGGGAGGAAGCCCACAGCGGGAGGGGAGGGGCCTCTGCTCTGGGCAGGGGATTGGGTGCTT